AAAGAAAGAAAGAAAGAAAGAAAGAAAGAAAGAAAGAAAGAAAGAAAGAAAGAAAGAAAGAAAGAAAGAAAGAAAGAAAGAAAGAAAGAAACTAACTCTTTGGGCTCCTCCTGGTCTTCCCACAAGCTCCATTCTGTACTGTAGGGCAGGCCTATCCTGCTGATTTGGGAACTTTTCTGAAATAAATGCTTGCTACCCTATCATCCGTACCATCCGTGAACCCTTGCTTCTTGCATGATGGGATGTGATCGGACCTAGGGCTTTGAAAAATGACTATTGGGGAAGCTAGGTGGCGCAGTGGATAGAGCACCAGACCTGGAGTCAGAAGGACCTGAGTTCAAATGCGGCCTCAGACCAAACACTTGACACTTACTAGCCCAATTGCCTAAAAAAAAAAGAAAAAGAAAAAAAAGAAAAAAAGAAAAAGAAAAATGACTATAGCATCACCTCTTTTAGTTACCTGGGAAATGCACTTAAAAGTAGTTTCCTAAATGGAATTTAGGGGCTGCTAGGTGGCGCAGTGCATACATTGCTGGGCCTGAAGTCAGGAAGACTCATCTTCCTGAGTTCAAATCTGGCCTCACAATTCCTAGCTGTGTGATCCTGGGCAAGTCACTTAACCCTGTTTGCCTCAGTTTCCTCATCTGCAGAATGAGCTGGAGAAAGAAATGGCAAACTACTCCAGTATCTTTGCCAAGAAAACCTCAAATGGGGTCATGAAAAGTCAGACACAACTAAAAAAAAAAAAAGACCGAACAGCAACAATAAAAAAGGAGATCTAATGAAAAGAGGAAAAAAAAACTGTAGTCAAGAGTGACATTTGCAATACACAAAGGTGGGAGAGGTGTGTAAGCCTGTTTTGTGCACTGTGCTTGAGTCAGTCATCCTGTGCTACAGGAGACACTTAGTGAGATTCACAGATTCTATCCTTATGGTTCTTTCCATCCTTTGGTGAAAATCAGGTTTCCTTGACCGGGTGCAAGTCTATTTGCACAGTTTTACTGTCGAAACCAGATCTGTCTGCTAGAAAGCCCAGCTCAGCTCAGTCTGTCTTTCTTCTCTAGGGGAGAGAATAAGCAATCTCCATGTAGCTCAGACTCTCCTTTTGAAATGGTTTGTGGAAGGTTGGTCCTCGACCTGCAGGGTAAGAGATCAGACACTGCCTGGCTGCCTCATACATACACCCACACACCTCTGCACGGATACACACACAAAACTCTCCCCAAGCAAAATGTGCCCTAGAAAAAGGAAAATGCAAGCATCTACCGTGAAGATCAAGGAAATATCTTTCTCATTCAGCTGGAATAGAGCCTTTCTTAGCTCGATAAAGGAACCCTGGAGCTCAGTTTCCATTTCAGATTTCTGTAAGCAACCTAGGAGAAAAATAAGAGACAAAGGAATGTAATACCTAAGAAAATATAAGGGCCCCTGACTCTATTCTAACAGAACCTTTCTAAACTGGAAATTAATTTGGAATTATGTAAGAAAAGATAACTACCTGCTCATATCTTTTGACTCAACCACCCCACTACTGAGCATGTGGCTCTAAGAAAGTTAATGACAGTAAAAAAGGTTCTATAATAATAATAATAACAATAAGCATTTGTAACATGCTTTAAGGCTTGCAAAGCACTTTACAAATATTATATGTTTATCCTCTCAAAGACCTCAAAAGGGAAGTGGTGTCATTATCCTTATTTTACAGATGAGGAAACTGAGGCAGAGAAAGGTTCAGTGACTTGCCCAGGGTCACATGGGTAGTAAAAGTCTCATGTCAAATTTGAACTCAGGTCTTTCTGACTCCAGGGCCAACACTCTATCCATTGTGCCACCTAGCTGCCAATGAATTTATGTAATAATTTATATAATGAATTGATATATGAAATATAGATACACATCTATATCTACATGTAAAATTATGAGTATATGTATAAGAGCCCTGCACACAGGACGTGCTACATAAATTGAATCCAAAATATACCAAAATAGTCATGGTAGCAACTCTTCATAGTACCAAAAAATGGAAAACAAAGTAGTGCCCATCAATTCAATTCAATTCAAACATCTATTAAGCACTTACTGGAACAGAAATACAATAACAAAAATATTTTAATGGAGAGATTTACCATGTATAGAGACATGGAGCCAATACAAAATAGATATAACACAAAGTAATTTCAGGAGACAGAGAGCGCTAACCCCCGAGGGAGTGGGGTGTCAGGAAGGATTTCATGTAGGAAGTGGCATTTGTACTATGCCCTGAAGGGAGCTAGAAATTCTAAGAAACAGAGGTGAGGAGGAAGAAAATTCCAGACATGGCGGATTAGGCATGCCAGGGACAGGGGAATGGCTGAACAAATTATGGCATGTAAACAATGGACTATTATTATACTATCAGGAACAGTGAATATGAACAGTGCAGAGAAGCATGGGAAGAACTGCATGAACTGATACAGAGCAAAGGAAGCAGACTCTGGAACAACATACACAGTGTATACGATGGTGCAGATGAAGACAACAGGAGCTAGACTGAGTACAATGATCAACATTGGTTCAAGAAGCCTGATGCTGAACACAGTGCCCTCCTCTTAGGAGAAGATGGTGGGTTATGATCACTCAGCCACTTAGTCAATAAGCATTTATTAAGTGCCATCTACGTGCCAAGCACTGTGCCAAATGCTGCACGTGGAATGTGGCACAATCTGTCAGTCCTTATATCAGGCGGTTGTGCTTAACTATTATTGTGATTAACTTCCCTGACCTCAGTTTACTCCTTTGTGAAATGAAAGGGGCAGACTAGATGGACTTGGAGTTCTCTTCCAGACTTAGATCTATAACTCGATGAGAGACTCTCGAACACTTAAGAGTTCTCCAAAAGGAGAATGGGCTGGGTTATCCCTCACAACGGATCTCCGAGCAAAGGCTGGGGAAGTTGTTGAGGGGACTCATAAGTTCAGGCAGAATTCGATGGTGTCAAAGGCCCCTTCTAACTGCGAGATTCTGTGAGTCAGGGAATGCCTGAGAGGAGCCTTTTTTGCCTACATCAGGGTTGCAGGCTGCCCTTAATTCCAGGGCAGCAAGGACCAATGAGTCTCCCTTACCTGAGGAGCAAAGGTTTCCCAGACCGAGATCCAGGGCGAACCATGCTTCACGCTGGTCTGAGCAGCCAATCAGGACTGAGTGTTCTATCATCTGTGCATCCTGTCCAAACTTGCTCAGGAGCCTTTCCAACTCTAGGAAAACAGGAAAAAAAAAAAGGAGGAAAGAAGAACACGAAGAATAATTAAACCATCACAACTGCAGGAAGCTAGCAGGAGTTCCATTTCTCAGACCAGCAAAGCATCGTAATTAGGGTAACTGAGTCCTGCCTCTGTCACCAAACTGTGTCTTTAGACTAGTCATTTCCTCTTTCACCCTCCATTTTCTCATCTATAAAATGGGGGCAGTTGTACTTAGTAACCTCCAGGGTTCCTCCTCACTAATATTCCATGAATCCATGAAAATAATTTTGATTCTGCTATGGAATCACACAATTCTACTGTTTCATTTACTGTTGGAAAGGTAGTAGTAGAAAGGGTTGCTACAGAGGGACTCTGGTTCAGGCGCGGACTGGATTTGACAGTCTCTGAGACTCCTAAGTTTAAGAATCTATAACCCGACTCTGCTTTCTTACCTTGGGAAAAAAAGGTATCTTTGGCTAACTATCATGCTTTCCCATGGGGATTTTTAATAGCAGGGAAGGGAATAAAACCTACTATGTGCCAGGCACTATGCTAAATGTTTTATACATGCGATCTCATTTGGTCTTTACAACAATCCTGGAAGGTAGGTGCTATTATTATCCCCATTTTACAGGTGAGGAAACTGAGGCAGGCCGCCCAGGGTCACAAAGCTAGTAAGTGCCTGAGGTGGGATTTGAATTCAGTCACTCTAGGCCTCTGTTCACTCTACCACTAGCTGCCTCGGTTGCAAAAGATAATAGCGCTTTCAATATCCCACTCATATACCTTAAGTGGAGTAAGAGTCACCAACTCGTATCTCTAACGGCCTAGGTGAGCAGTTCTCAAACTTTTTAGTCTCAGGACCCCATTATACTCTTAAAAATTATTTTTAATAGTATTTCATTTTTTCCAATTATATGTAAAGACAATTTTTAATATTCATTTTTACAACATTTTGAGTTCCAAATTTTTCTCCTTCCCTCTCTCCCCTCCCCTCTTCCTAAAACAGTAAGCAATTTGATATAGGTTATATATATGCAATCATGTGAAAATATTAGTCATGTTGTGAAAGAACTCTTAAAAATTATTAAGCCCCCTACCCAGAAAGCTTCTGTTTCTGTGGGTTGTGTCTATTAATAGTTACTATATTAGATGTTAAAACATCTTAGTGTTATTACCAAAATAGTTTTGCCCTTGCAAACCCCCTGAAAGGATCTTGGGGACACCCAAAGGTCCCTGGACCATACTCTGAGAACTAGGGGCCTTAGAAATAAGGTCTCTCGGAGAAGTGCAAAGAGAGCAGGATTTGGAATCAGAGCACCTGGGCTGGAACCTGAGCCTCACACTTCCTAGCTGTGTGACTTTGGGCCACTCACTCACCCTCTCCAGGCTTTAGCTTCTCCATCTCTCAACTGAGGGGGCTAGATTAGCTATTGTCTAAAGTCGTTCCCAACTCTAAATCTTACAATCCCACAAATCACAAAATCTGGCCTGCAGATCTCATCACTTCTTGCAGTCACATAAGGGGAGTGGCTCCCCTGAGGCCCTGACCAGTACAAGTCCAGCACTGCATGCAGGGAGAGCACCCTTCAGTGCCTTGGGACTCACCCTTCCCTGCTTGGTGCTAGGTCTCAGCACAGAGTCTGGTACCTTTCTACCAATCTCTCCTATTCTCCCCTGTTAAAAACAGCCCTATCCCCTACTCCCCAACATCTGGGACCCCAGTATTTCAACGTATACACTGGTAGGTGTCAGACACTCATATATATCCATATTATACGAGCTTGCAAATTTCAGGCTGAATTGGAGAATTCCCAGCCCTTAATTGTGTAAGATCTCATGGTTTCTCCCTACATAAAAACATCTTGTACACACACACACACACACACACACACACACACACACACACACACACACACAAATGTAACCTTCCTATGTCTGGGCACTTGCTACTTTGCTCTATTGTTTACATAGAGCAAAAGAAGGCTCTGGGACTGTCATGGGGGTCCTGGAGGTTTTTTCCTCAGGAACCTCATGGAAATGCATAGACATCCCTGGGTGTAAGAATTCTGAGAGTGAAGGTCCGGGGAAAGAGAATAAATACCTGTTATACAAACCCATTCACACAAATAGCACAACATTTTCCCTCTCAAAAAATAAGATTCATATCATTTCACATTTTAAAAAAATGCAAATCACACTAACTTATTTAAGAGGAGGAGGGGAAATGGGAGATGAGGAAATGGGAATCAATAGTGTAGGGACCTCATCATTGTTAATCAACATTGACCGAGGACCCCATTAGGTACTTAAAACACAATCATTAATAAATCAACAGGCATTTATTAAGTGCCTGCTGTGTGCCAGGCAGTGTGCTGGTCCTGAGAATATGAAGACAAAAAATGAAACACTTCCTGCCTTCAAGGAGTTTATATTCTTTTGGGGAAAACAACATCACACAATCATTAGGGGTGGAATGAACCTTCACAAGCCCACAGCTTAGAGCGCCCTCTGGTTCAATTTTTCCAGAAATCCACAAAGGTTCAGCACTGGCTGGCGCTCCACTTGATGACAGGGTGTTCAGACTTGTGGCCTTTAGGCTTACCTGAAGCCCGAAATGGAGGCGCCAGGTATCTGTTCCCAGACATCTGTAGCAAAGGAGCCAGGCTATGGAAAAGGTAAAACATTCCTGAACTCTGGGCTTTTCGACATACATCATCATCTTCTTTAAGTTCAAACAGGTACCTGTCATTGGGACAGAGATGAGTCATTATAGGACCTAACCCAGCTCTCCGCAGAGTCCCTAGTCATGACAACGATTTTTCTGGTCATCACATAGCTAACATCTATGAAGGTCACGTTTAAAGGCACATCCCTAGGACAGTTTCAGGATGCCTCCGGGAGCTAGAGGAGAGAAGGAAACACACATGGTTTATGGCAGCAGCTGTACGGCAGATTTCAAAGCAGAGAGGTGAGGGTCAGTACAGTACTACTCACTCCAGAGACGTGTCAACGAGAAGCAAATACCATGCATTCAATAGCAGCTGACCTTGGGTAGATGATAAATAAATCTTCATCCACTTGGAGAAAACAGAGCCAGAGAGGAACTTAGAAGGGAACACAGGGCAAACACACCATTTGTGGTGGGCTTATTTTTTTGTTTCTACTTTATTGAGTGCTAAAGGTTGAATGTAAGATTGAATTCCTTATTCGGTCTACTTATTTGCTTATTTGTCCTTGCTTTATGGGCTGCCACAGCCAAAGAGTTCTTCCAGTGGCCAATCTACTGATGATGAGTCTCTCTGTACTGAGCTAGGCTGGTGGGTCCCTCTGAAGCAGCTGGAACCCTATTTGAACACTCCCCACCCCATAGAATCTGCCATGGTACATACTCTACTGGCCCAGCCTTTCCATTAAATCCAATGAGTATTTAGTAAGTGCTTCTATGTGCAAGATACTGGGCTAAGTGCTGAAGATACAATGATAAAGGAAAGAGAGAAAGAAAGAGAGAGATGGGGAGAGGGAGAGAAGGAGAGAAAGAGGGAGGGAAGTAGAGAGAGAAAGGAAGGAAAAAAAGTAAGAAGGAAGAAAAGAAGGGAGGAAGAAAAGGGAGGAAGAAAAGAAGGAAGGAAAGAAGGAAGGAAGGAAAGATAAAAGAAGGAAGGAAGGAAGAAAAGAAGGAAGGAAGAAAAGAAGGAAGGTAGAAAGAAAGGAAAGAAAGGAGGAACGAAGGAAATAAAAAAGGAAGGAAGGAAAGAAGGGAGGAAGAAAAGAAGGAACAGAGGAAATAAAGGCAAGGAGGGAGAAAGGAAGGGAAGGAGAGAGGGAGGAAAGAAGGAGGGAGGGAGGGAGGAAAGGAAGCAACAACCCCAGCTCTTAAGAAGCTTATATTCTAAGGATACAATATGTTCACAAGAATAAAAAGTGTTTTCAAGAGCCAGAAGGTGCTTCTAGTCGGGGAGCTCAGGGGTGGTGACTCCAGAGCTGTCTTTGAAGGAAGCAAGGGATTCTAAGAGGCAAAACTGAAAATCATGGGATCACAGGTCCAGATCGGGAAGGGAACTTAGAGGTCATGTAGTCCAACCTCCTTATTTTGCAGTTAAGGAAACCGAGACCCAGAGATGTTTAGTGAGCGTTGGACTTGCAGTCTGGAAGACCCAAGTGTGAGTCTTACTGGGCAAGTCATTTAACTTTTCTAAGCCTAAATTTCCCCATTTTACAGAACGAGGAAGGAAATCAAGGCCCAGAAAGATTAGGTGACTTGCCCAAAGTCGCACAAGTAATAAGTGGCAGGAACAGCTCCTATGACTACAAATCTGCTTCTGCACCACAAACTAGAGAACCCAAGGGAAGAACTTGGGGCCCTCTCATGAGATTATTAATTCTTTGCCTTTTATTTCAGGGTACTTGGGAGGGAAAGGTACCTATAATAGGCCCACTAAAAAGGCTAATATTTTTAATAACCCATATGAAAAAAGCCAGCATCTTATAAAACGGTTTCACTAAGTAAGGCAGTACTGGCTCAGGGTGCAGAATGGAACATATTTTTTGGACATGGCCGATGTGGGGATTTTTTTTTTGGTTGACTCTGCATACTGGTTACAAAGGTTTTGTTTTTCTTTTTTCTTTTTCTAATTGTGTGGGTGAGTGGGGTGGAAATAGGAGGCAGAGAAAATAGCTTTTTATTAATTGAAACAAATAAAATTAAATTTAGAAAAAAGAAAAGAGAATCCAAAGCAAGTTGGCCAGGATCTTCTCTCCTCTCTTTTAATGGCTCACTCTGTCTTTCACTTCTAAGACCCCGTGAAACAAACAGGACTTCAATAATCCTTTCTTTCTCCTTCCCAGGCCTCAGGAGTAGCCATTTCAGTCTATGCTAAGCCCTACTCAGACTGAGAGTTCAAAGTCAGACCCAGAACTCCCTGACCTTGGGGAACATTCCCTGCCAAAAATTCCAGTTAAATGGACAATCAGCCCACAGGTGTGCATTGAAAAGGCCAGGCCACTTTTGAAACACAAGGAGGTAGTTCTGGCCCAGTATGGAGTTCCAGCCCAGCAGTCTGTTTGGGACCTTTTAAGAGAAGAGGGGTTACTACAATGAGCTCTTTATAGGAGACAAAAGACTGTGCTAGAATTTCAGTCCCCCAGTGTTCCAAACCCTCCCTGGGACCAGGTGCTGCCCTCTGAGCCAAGTGCCCAGTGGTATGTCAAAGGAGAAAACATTCATCTCACTCAGGGCTTTCCAAATATAAATAGTGACTAGGAGGCTGATAGCCTGGAGCAAATATTAGCTCCCTTTCAAAGGAAGGGTGAAGGTGGTGTAATCCTGTTTGCCCTGGTAACCTTAACAATAACACAAAACAACCAGGCTGATACCACCTCATGAGAAGGGGGAGTCCAGAGGGTGGTTCTAGAGGTTCTCAGCATCCCTTTCAAAGCAGTGCCTTTAGCTTACAAAGTTTCTCTACAACTTGTGAACACCACCATTCAAGCTTACCGTGGTAGGAGGAATTTCGGTTTTTGTCAATTCAGCAATTCCACAAATATTTATCGAATGCCTACTCAGGGAAAGGTGCTTTTTGAGATAGAGGGCTCAACAGAACACGAGGCACCATAAGGAAACTAGTGGGAAAAAGATTGGACTTGGAGTCAGGAATCCTGCCCTGATCTAACCGTATAATCTTGGTTGAAGTCATTTATCCTCAGTTGCTTCACCTGTAAAATGAGGGTGATACTAGCACCTACCTCATAGGGTTGCCACGAGAATCAAATGAGATGAAATGTGTGAGGTACTTTATAAATCTTAACACGGTATACAAACGTGAGCTATTATTACATAGCAGTCATTAACACACAGTCACTACTTTCATGGAGTTTATAGTCTAGTTCGGGAGTGGGGATCCCCATTTGGGATTTTCTTGGCAAAGATACCGAAGTGGTTTGCCATTTCCTTCTCCAGCTCATTTTATAGATGAGGAAACTGAGGCAAAGAAGGTTAAGTGACTTGCCCAGGGTCACACAGCTAGTAAGTGTCCGAGGCTGCATTTGAACAGTCTCCCTGACTCCAGGGCCGGGGCTCTGCATGCTCCCTCTTTTCCTCCCACTTTTCTTTTCCCTCACCCACTCTATATTGCAGCCACACCAGCCTTCTTGTTGTTCTCCATATGCAACATTCCACAACCCTCTTCAGTGCACTATATTTGGGATAACTTGCCTCCTCCTCTCCACCTCTGGGAATCCCTCCCTGTTCTTCAGGATGCTGCCCCCTCTTCCACATGAGGTCATTCTTAATCTTCACAGTTGTTCTGGCTCTCCCTGCCACTCCCCCTTCCCTAAACAAATGTCTCTGCATTTACTTTGAATGTTTTTTATTTCACCATCTGTGTGCAAGTCACACTGGCAACCCCCTCCCCCAGGAGGACAAAAAGAAGGTCCTTGAAGGAAGGGACAAGTCCTTCCATCTTTGTCTTTGGATCTGCAGGGTGCAGCAAAGGGCTTTGAACAAAGGAGTTTAATTGAAGGAGTAAGTGAGGACACAAAAAATCAACTCCTACGGCAGATAATAAACTATCATATTAAAAGCACAGATGATTAATTAAATTAAATTAAATTAAAAATAAGTAATTAAACCACAGGACACAATTGCCATTGAGGCCTAAATGGTTTCCCAACCTCCTCATTTTGCTCCAGGGCTTAGCTGCCCAGTGGTCACTTCTTTTGTGAAGCCTTCCCTGATTCCTCATAATTTCCTTGAACTTATTGCCAACCTGCCCCCACCCCCAAAAGAATATAAGCCACTTGAGGACAGTTATTTTTGTCAAATTTTTTTTTGGCTCATTTTTTTTGCTTCTCAAAGTGCCTACTCATAAAAGCTTGGAAATAAACCTTTGTGGACCTGAACCAGTCCCAGGCGCAAGTCCCATCCCTACATGCTGGGCACTACAGTTATGAAGATGAAACGGAGTAATCTTTGTTTGCAAGAGTCACAGATTTAGGGACAGAAGGGAAAGTCTCCAGTCTAAAACCTTTCTTTTCACAGATGAAGAAATAGGTGGCCAGAGAAATTAAATGATTCTCCTCAAACCATGCAGGTAGTAAATGACAGTTTTTGAAGCCAGGTTCTCTCTCTGCAAATCTAGGTTCTTTCTACTGTACCACTGTACCACCAGTACTGTAATTAGGGGGAGGAGCAAGAGATAAAATATGTACATAAATAAATAAACATGACTTATTGTTATTAGCAAACTCACTTAACACTTTGCTCTAGGCTAAGCAGAGAATGTTTTCTTCTAGGTCTTATGCCAATGGAAATACACTAATGGGGCCCCAAGCAGGAATAAAGCAAAGCCAGGGATGCAGACATGCTTACCGCATCTTGGTGACATAGGTAGAGACCTGCCTGCATGCCTGCGGTGCTTTCCAGGAAGCTGCTCGCCAGAACAGAGACAGAGACATCACTAACTCCTTTGATGTGAGAAGGAAAGGCGCTGCATGCAAGAGAAAGAAATGAACCTTCAGGAACGGGACTGAACTGTCAGCAAGGACAAGGGACCAGAGTCCGTTTGAATCATCTGGAGAAGACCCAATGCATCCCATAAAGATGGGAGTTTGTCCTGAGCATACTTCCTAGAGCTTGGCTACTTTGAAACTCAATATGTATATACCACTAGAACATTATATTCTTTACACCAGGCTAACAGTCAAATTCCTCTGCACTTCCTTTTGGTAGAATTCGCATTTTTCATTTCAGTTAAACAAATATTTATTTTTTTCTTTTTTTAAAATTTTTATCTTTTTAATTAATTAATTTATTTTTAGTATTCAACATTCACTTCCACAAGATTTTGAGTTCCAAATTTTCTCCCCATCTTGTCCCTCCCCCAATCCAAAATGGCATGCATTCTGAATACCCCTAATCTGCCCCCCCTTCTATCTCTCCCCCACCTTCTCTTATCCCCTTCCCCTTCAATTTTCCTGTACGGCAGGATAGATTTCTATACCCCATTTCCTATATATCTTATTTCCCAGTTGCATGGGAAAACAAATTTTTGCAAGCAACTCGATAACAGGCTATACATGTGTAGTCATGCAAAACACTTCCATAGTAGTCATGTTGTGAAAAACTAAGTATATTTCCCTTCATCCTATCCTACCCCCCCATTTATTCTATTCTCTCTTTTGACCCAGTCCCTCCTCAAAAGTGTTTGCTTCTGATTATCCCCTCTCCCAATCTCCCCTCCCCTCTATCATCCCCCTGCTCTCTTGTCCCCTTCCCCCCTTATTTTCCTGTAGGGTAGTATAGATTTTCATACCCAATTGTGTATGTTATTCCCTCTTTAAGTCAAATCCTATGAGAATAAGATTCACTCATTCCCTCTCACCTTCCCCCATTTCCCCTCCACTGTAAAAGCCTTTTCTTGTCTGTTTTATGTAAGATAACTTACCCCATTCTACCTCTCCCTTTCTCCTTCTCCCAATATAATGCTCTCTCACCCCTTCATTTTATTTTTCAGATATCACCTCTTCATCTTCAACTCACCCTGTGCCCTCTATCTATCTAGCTAGCTAGCTAGCTAGCTATCTACATACATACATATAATTTTTTTCCCTCCCATTACCCTAATACTGACAAAGGACTCATGAGTTACAAATATCATCTTTCCATGCAGGAATGTAAACAGTTCAACCTTAATAAGTCTCTTATGATTTCTCTTTACTGTTTACCTCTTCATGTTTCACTTGAGTCTTGTATTTGAAAGTCAAATTTTCTATTCAGCTCTGGTCTTTTCATCAAGAATGCTTGAAAGTCCCCTATTTCACTGAATGATCATTTTTTCCCCTGAAGGACTATACTCAATTTTGCTGGGTAGCTGATTCTTGGTTGTAACTCTATCTCCTTTGCGCTCTGGAATATTATACTCCATGCCCTCCAGTCCCTCAATGTAGAAGCTACTAAATTCTGATTGTGTTTCCACAATATTTGAATTGTTTCTTTCTGGCTGCTTGCAATATTTTCTCCTTGACCTGGGAATTCTAGAATTTGGCTACAATATTCCTAGGAATTTTCCTTTGGGGATCTCTTTCAGTGGATTCTTTCAATTTCTATTTTGCCCTCTGGTTCTAAAATATCAGGGCAGTATTCCCTGATAATTTCTTGAAAGATGATGTCTAGGCTCTTTTTTTGATTATGGCTTTCAGATAGTCCAATAATTTTAAAATTCTCTCTCCTGGATCTATTTTCCAGGTCAGTTGTTTTTCCAATGAGATATTTCACATTCTCTTCTATTTTTTCATTCTTTTGGCTTAGTTTTACAGTGCCTTGATTTTTCATAAAGTTACTAGCTTCCAATTGCTCCATTCTAATTTTTAAGGAAGTATTTTCTTCAGTAATCTTTTGGACTTCCTTTTCCATTTGGCCAATTTTGCTTTTTAAGGCATTCTTCTCCTCATTGGCTTTTTGGACCTCTTTTGCCATTTGGGTTAGGTTATTTTTTAAGGCGCTATTTTCTTCAGTATTTTTTTGGGTCTCCTTTAGCAAGCCGTTGACTTGTTTTTCATGATTTTCTTGCATCACTCTCATTTCTCTTCCCAGTTTTTCCTCTACTTCTCTTACTTGCTTCTCAAAATCCTTTTTGAACTCTTCCAAGGCCTGGGACTGATTCATATTTTTCTTGGAGGCTTTGGATGTATGAGCTTTGACTTTGCTGTCTTCTTCTGGTTGTATGTTTTGATCTTCTTTGTTACCAAAGAAAGATTATATGGTCTGATTCTTTTTGCGCTGCTTGCTCATGATCCCAGCCAATTACTTAAGTTATAAACTCTTTGTTAAGGTAGGAATCTACTTCCAGTGTGGAGAATGTACTGTCCCAAGTTTTGGAGGTTTTGTGCAGCTGTTTTCAGAGATACTCCTAGGGACCTGAAAATTTTCAGTTCTTCCAAGGTGCTATGATCAAGGGCAAGGTATTTACTCCTTTCCTGACCTGTGCTCTGGTCTATGAATGACCACAAGCACTCTTTTCTGTTTTGGAACTGTGAGGAAAATTTCCTCTCCACAGTCACTACAAGCTCCACTACGCCAGTGCTCCTCCTTGCCCCAGGACTGCCACCCAGAACTGTGACCCAGATCCAAGCATGGACAAAGCAAGAGAATCCTGCACCAGCAGAGAGATCCCTACAATCCCCCTCTGATCATTCACTCGATTCCCCCTCAGTCTGTGGGCTGGAAGCTCTGGAGGCAGCCGCCATCCCAGGGCCATGCTCGAGGACTGGGGCTGGGACCCCACCGCGCTTCTCTCTCACCACCGCAGAAACAGACTTTTCCTACTGACCTTCTAAGTTGTCTTTAGCGCTCATGGGTTGAGAAGTCTGGAATCCACCATAGCTACCCGTGATTCAGTCCTCTGAAGTCTGCTCCAGGTTCACTGCAGCCTGCGCCCCCATGCTGAGCTGCACTCCTCTCCCAGCCTGGTGCGATATGCCTTTCTGATCATTCATCCAGGTTGTCTTGGGCTGGAAATTTGTTTCACTCTGTCTTCTTGTGGGTTCTGCTGCTTTAGGATTTGTTTAGAGCCATTTTTTACAGGTATTTGGAGGGGTTTGGGGGAGAGCTCAAGCAAGTCACTGCTTTTACTCTGACATCTTGGTTCCGCCTCCCTTTCATTAACTCTAAACAAATATTTATTAAGCACCTACTGTGTGCAAGATTTCTTGCTCAGTGATGGGATATTTTGCAGGGAGGAGATGGAGATTGCTTTGGATCTTTAATTTCTTCTTTGTGGGGAACTCCTGGTGAGGAAATTTCCCCTACAGATTCAGATCAATATCTCTATAACTTAATAATTTTATTTATTTTTTTATTAATTTATTTTGATTTATCAACAATCACTTCCATGTGATTTTGAGTTTAAAATTTTTCTCCCCCTTTCTTCCTACCTCCCTGCCTAAGACGGTGCACAATCTGACATAGGCTATACATATACATTCCTATTAAACATTTTCACATTAGTGATGTTGTTAGTAAGAATTAGAACCAATAGGAGGAACTACCAGAAAGAGGAAACAAAACTCAACAGAAGAGAAAAAAAAATAGCAAATAGTATCCTTCAATCTGCATTCAAATTCCATAGTTCTTTCTTTGGATGTGGATAGCATTTTCCATCATGAAGCCTTTGTCTTAGATCCTTGTATTGCGGGGAAGGGTTAAATAACTTAATAATTTTAAAGAGTTGCCTGGGGCATTGAGAAGTGATTTGCCCATGGTTGAGTACCTAGTGTGTGTCAGAAGTAGGATCTGAACCCGGGTCCTGTAGACTGGCCTTGTAGCTAGAGGACTCTGCCACTGTTGCCTCTCAGGATCTTGGATACAAAAATAAATAATGAAATAATCCTTGCCTTCAATGGGCTTGCAGCTTAATTAGGAGAGGGATACAATAGGCACAATAAGATATAATGTCTCTGTTTTTCCACCTGAATGATCTCTTGTGGATAACTTTTGCCTCTTGTATAAAATACAAACTCCTTAGCCTTATGTCATGAGCTGCGTCTAGCTCAGACAATTCTCTGGTTTGAGATTGGAATGAAATGAGACAATCATAGTCCATCAAACAGCTAACAAAAGGAGATTTACTTAGCCATAGCAGGGGAAGGATATTCGACACGGATGATATTGAATGAAGAAACCATGCTGGTTCAGTAGGGTATAGCTCCTCTGCCTCCGAGTTGCCCATAGTGGTCCACAGGTCAGGCACTGGAGAAGAACTCGGGCTCTTCCTGAACTTTCTGTACATAGACAGTGGGGAATCAAAGTCAACAGCCTGATTCTTTGGTCCTCTGGGCCAGATCAATCTTGAGGACTGTCTCAATACCTTTCAAGGATGAGAACTAACCCAGCCCATGTAGTAGAGGACTCTGGTAGATATTCCTCCTACCACATCTGTCATTCAAGGCTCTTTACCATCAAGTCTCAAACTACCTTTCCAGCATTCCTACTATGCACTGATTCCATGTTTCATCCAAACTAGGCTGCTTGCTCTTCCCCCCATCTCACCCTTCCCTCTTTCTACACTGGTGCATTTGGACAGACCAACCCCCATGACTACATTTTTCCTCATTTCCTCTGCTGAAGTCTTCTTTCAAGGCAGCTTGGGTGCCATCTCCCCCATGAAACCTTTACTGATCTTTCTAGCTGCTTTAGGAAAAGAGCTGCAAAAAGGATGGATAATGTATTGTCCAGATTTTTTCTTTGCCCCATCTCTATGGTTTTCATTTGTATCCATGTCTTATGTCCCACTTTTCTACCTCTCTCTTCTTCCCATTATATCCTAAGAACCTTGAGGGCAGGGGCTATTTTGGTGTGTATCTTTGTAACTTCAGCCTACAGCACAGAGTAGTCTTGCACATAGTAGGGGCTTACTTACTTCTCATCGAATTGAATTGGAAGTTAGTACTCCCTGAAGGCCACACAAATGAACTGTGTTCCTGGATATCATGGAACATACCCACAAAGCTGTATAGCTCTGTTTTAGAGCTGGTGACTTCAGCATTGCGGTAATACCCAATAGAATTAAGCAAATGAAATGGTGGAGCCAGGTGAGAAAGAAGCCTGGACAGTCTTCCAAGGGGAAAAACCTAAGATGCCCAAATATACCAAATCCGCTAAAAATCACCGAAGACTCCTCTTAGAAGGAAGTAGGAAGGGCTGCCTAAATTCAGAAATATAAAACACAAAGTTGCCTCTAGGTTAATCAAAAAGGACCATTAAAACAATATGCAGGATTTCATAAAAGCTAATCTTCTCCACCAAGGTCCCGTCATATGGATCTCCAACCACTTCTGCAGTTTGGGAACTCTGTCTCTAGAAAGGAGGCCTCTGATGTCAGTCACCATTTTCCACTCTTTGGGCTCTAGGTCTGTCTACCATGTTTATCGTCTTGCCACAGAAAAAGTCAGAAGTCTCCCTGAAGCAGCAACACGTAAAAAGAACAGAGCTTTACGCAAGAGTGGCACTCTCAGATGAACCCCTGAGGCGTTTTGGAAGGCTAGTCCAGAAATTTGGCTATGTGTTGCTGAATCATCAATGACTAGATTTGAGGCAGCTACTTAGGACATCCTTAAAAGCAAACCATATACAGCTGAGGCATCTAGGTGGCACAGTGGATAAGGTACCAGGCTTAGAATTAGGAAGACTCGCAAATTTGATCTTAGACACCTCCTAACTGTGTGACCCTGGGGCAAGTCCCTTAACCTCTGTTTGTCTCATTTTCCTCATCTATAAAATGGGGATAACAATAGCACCTATCCCTCCCTCCAGCATTGTTGTGATGATAAAATGAGATAATATTTGTAAAGTATTTTGTGAACCCTTAAGTGCTGTATAAATAATAGCTAACATAAAAATATAGCTTGGAAATGTCAAAGGTGAGATTTGAACTTAGGTCTCTGATGACATCAAGCCCCATGTTCTTTCCACTAAAGCTATCGATGCTTATTGGATAGGTCTGGAAGGGACCTGAGGGGTCGGCTAGCCCAGCCCCTTCCATTTTATAGATCAGGAAACTCAAGCCCAGAAAAGCTCATTGACTTGCCCATAGAGATGTGAACTGAAGCCTTCTAACTCCACAATCAGGCACTTTTCATTCTCTCACGATACCTCCCCATAAAGGCACAAAATGTTATGGATACGTAGCTATGTAAGGCATGGTCCCTGCCCTCAAGGAATTTACCAGCTAGTAAATAGCTAGCATCTATATGGCACTTACTATGGGCCAGGCATGGTACTGCATGATTTACAGATATTAGCTCATTTAATCCTCACAACAACCCTGGGAGGGAGATGCTATTAATATCCCCGTTTTACAGGTGAGGAAACTAAGGCAAAAAGAGGTTAAACAGAGGTTAAAGGTATGTGAGTGCTGGAAATTAAACATTATGGGGAGATACCATCAAGAAAGAGGTACAGCCTCTATCTAGAAAGCTGCCTCCTCCCCTCCCTGCCATTCATATAATGCCCCAGCAGAGCTGTGGTCTAAATTTCAGCCTTCCAAACAAACTCTGCAAATAGTCCTTCTCTATCCACTGCTCCCCAGAAATACCTTCATCTACTCATTGGGGAACAGTGAGGCTCCTTTAGGGGAACCCTGAATACTACAAGGGCTATCTTTCTTGGTGACGCTTTCCTGGTCATTTGTGGGGCAATACCGTGGGATTTTTCTAGCTTATGGCCTGATGATGTCTAGTTCCTAATACCAAGAAAACATCAGCCACTCATAGCTTAGTTACAGGTTGCTGACTCGTGAGTTCATCATAGAATTGTTGGGCGAGGGAAGGCAGCCAACCATTTAATGTGGCTTTCAAATTAAGACACAGAAAATGAAGGCTTAAACCAGAGTCTTTCGATAGAAAACTAGACAGCATATTAGGACCTTTGTGAAACTGTTAGGTCTCACATAAAAGGGAGCTGAAAAGGGGGAGGAAGAGAGGATGAGGAGAAGGTGCCCTCACAAGGGGAAGGGGGAGTACATGGCCAGGAGGATATCCAGGAGAGGAATGAAGACATGGCAGGCCTAGGCCTCCTTAAAATGAAGATTCTGGGAGGACCCAGTCCATCTGAAGGAGAGGCCACAGAAAAGAGGTTAGGTAGAGAACATTGAATTCTCCTTCTAAATAGTACTTGTACATTTTTTGGTATGAAATGAAACATTTGCCTCAAAATGTTTTATTGATCATTTAGATGACGTCCATAAAATTATAGTATTTTTTTAAAACAACATTTACTACTACTACTACTACTACTACCCTATATACCATTTATATAGGCCTACTATATGCCAGACACTGTGCTAAGCACTTTACAATTATTATCTCACTCAATCCTCATAACAACCCTAGAAGGTAAGTGTTATTATTATCCCCATTTTACAGATAAGGACAATAAAAGCTGTAACTAGGGGAGGACTTAGGTCTTTGCTCCAAGGCACTGAAATTTAAAGGGTCCTAAGAGACCTTGTCCTCCCTTAGCAAACACAACAAACTGAGCTTTGCATCTAGTTTGCAAGAATGACTAGATAAAATAGGAAACTAGGTCGGTGGAAAATAGGATGATGGTCTGGATTTCCTTCCCCCAACCCTTTAAAATCTTAAGAAGTGAATTTGAGGGCTCCTTTCATGATGTTTGCCCCCAGGCTATGTTTTGTGGCATTTGCCCTGTGTAAAAAGTGTGAGTTACGGCTCTGATGACAGAATGTTACTGTAACAAGGGCATCCTTTGGGGCAGCTAGGTGGCGCAGTGGATAGAACACCAACCCTAGATTCAGGAGGACCTGAGTTCAAATCCAACCTCAGATACATAACACTCTAGCTGTGTGACCCTGGGCAAGTTACTTAACCCCATTGCCTAGCTAAAACAACAACAACAAAAAAAAAAAAATAGGGGGCATCCTGGTATAATAGGAAGAATGTTAGAGTAGGGAGAGGCCTGAATTTGAATCCAGCTTCTCACACTCACTAGCTGTATAACCTGGAGCAAGACACTTCACGTCTGAGCCTCAGTTTCCTCACGTGTAAAATTAACTGTAAATAAAATATAAAATAACTATAGTTTATAGGGATAAAAATAACTATAGTACATAGTTCACAGAGTTATGAGGATCAAATAAGGAGCTGTGAGGAACCATTCTGATCATTTCACCCCCGGCTGTACTGCTCAGTCGCTGGACTAAGAGACGCATGTTGCAGAAACTTTTTTTTTTTTTTGAGGCAATGGGGTTAGGTCAGGATCACCCAGCTAGCAAGTATCTGACGTTGCATTTGAACTCAGGTCTTTCTGATTCCAGGGCCTAATGATTTCTGATTTTGTGCACCATTCTGTAACGATGCCATAAAAGCTACGGTCTGGCCATACCGGGATGCTCCGCGTTTTACCATGAGCACCTGTTCCTTCTCCCTTTGGAGGAGGAGGTAGTGGTGGTGATCTCCCTGTTCCTAGGCTTTCCTGGCCTCAGGAACAAGTGTTTACAGACCCAAGTGTTGCTGGCCTGGTAAACACCTGCTCAAACACCACCTTAGGAACACAATGGTTGTTTTTGTTTGAACTGACGGTCAAATCATTAACAGCATTTTACGCCTGACCCTGCACTGAGGTTGAAGGTTCGTTTATCACGAAAATGCTTCAGAAAGGAAAAAACCAAACCATCCTTAGCATTACATTATTTTGCTGCAGCTGATAGATCAACAGAAGTCTGGATTCTGTTTTCTTTTCAGTGCAAATGTTTGGGTCTGTTTGTCTCAAAGGGAGACAGAGGCAGAGAAGAATGAGCATTGGACTAGGAATCAAAAGGCTGTTTTTGGCTCTTCCATTAACTTGCTGTGTCATAGCAATAGTGAGCATTTATCTAGTGCCTTAAAAGTTTGCAAATTTATCTCCTGTAATCCTCACAACAACCTTGGGATGTAGGTGCTATTATTCTCCCCATTTGACAGATGAGGAAACTGAGGCAGACAGCAGTTAAGTGCCTTGCCTAGGGTCACCCATCATTCTAGTAAGTGTCTGAGGCTGGATTTGAACTCAGATCTTCCTGACCAACCTTAAGCAAATCACTTAATTTCTCTGAGCCTTCCTATCCTCCTTTATAAAACAGGGATACTACTTTTATAAGTATTGTGCCTCACTGAAATCCAATTCATACATGAAAGAGAACATTGAACCCCTTCAAAAACAACAAACAACAAAAACAATAATGTGCAAATACGTGCGAGAACGGCAGGATTGTTGTGAGAAGATTTATTGAGACAGTGGATGGGAAAGCTCTGTTTTCATTAAAAAAACAAAAAGTATTATCATCTCCAAAGGCAGATACCCCGTCAAGCTCTTTCCCAAACTGTTCTATAGCACTGAGTTCACAAATACCATCATGTCCATCCTGAAAATTGTCAACAGCAGGATGTTACCTCAAGAGTAACTGTCTATTACCTCAAGAGCCAGCTTAAGGTGATGGACAGAGGGCAAGATATGGAATCACGAAAAGCCGAGTTCAAACCCTCCCTTTAATACATACTAGCTAGATGACCATCGACAAGTCATTTAGTCTGGAAGGGCCTCAGGAAACTCTCTAAAGGTCCTAAGTTGCAAATCGCCAATCTTCATTCATGGAAGGAGTTTTCTATATAAGGAGTTAGTTCCCTGTAGTAACGTAATCACAGGTATGTGTTGGGGAGGGGCCGAAATTATAGATATGTAAAGGTCTGAACCAGCAACTTGCCAAATCTTATAGTTGTAAGGGACCTTAGAGAGAAGTCAGTCCAAACTCCACACTTTACACATGTGAAACTGAAGCATGGGGGGTGGTGGTGAGGAATTATCATATCATATCATATCAATCATGTTACATATTTCACAGCATATCATATATCGTATCATATCATCAGCATTAATTAATGCTTTAAGGTTTTCAAAGTCCCTTCCTTTACAACAAACTGGGGGTATGATGGAAATAGAAGTGGGAGTATCAAATGAGATAACAAGTCAAGGAGCATTTATTAGTCACCTCTTATGTGCTAGGCCCCGTGGTAAGTGTTGGGGATACAAAGAATGACCAAAACACAGCAGCTTACATATGTAAAATGCCTTGCAAAGTTTAAAAACACTTTATTAATGCTAGTACTTATTACTATTATTATTATTATTATTATCTATTACTACTGATGGGCATAATAGTAACACCCACCTCACTGGCTGATGTCAGTCAGTCAATAAACACTTATTAGATGCCTACTGCATGCCGGGTACTGTACTAAGTACTAAGTATACAAAGAAGGGTGAGGCCTCAAGGAGCTCACAGTCTAACGGGAGACAATGAGCTATTTACAGGATAAATTGGAGACAATCATCACAGGGAAGGCAGTAAAATTAAGGGACAATGGGTAAGGCTCCCTGTAGAAGGTGGGATTTGAGCCAGGATTTGAAGGAAGCCAAGGAATGATATCCGTAAAGTACGTTGCCAACCTAAAAGCCCCATAGAAGATGCCAGCTGTTATTCTCGGGCGGCCCACGTTATCATTATCCTCATTTTATAGATGAGGAAACTGAGGCCCCTAGAGAAGTTAAGTGACCTCCTCGAGGTGATGGAGTTAGCATCAGAACTGGGTGGGTCTTGCACTGGCGTCTTTCCATTCTGAGCACCATGAATCGAATCCTTTGGATGCGAGTCCTGAGGATGTGGCATAAAACCACAAATACCAACTTCGTTTTTTGGTCTCCTGAACCACTGTCCCTCATCACATCCTCCACACTGCAGCCAGACTGAGGGGACTGCTCGTTGCTATATATGCCCACTTTTCCGTGCCCGTTACCTGGGCACTTCTCATTTCTATCTGCCACAAATCCTTCCCTCCCTTCAGAATTCTGCTCAGGCAAAGCATTTTCTGATTCCCCCAGTAGTTAACACTCTGGTCCTCAAAACTCCTTCTAAGGACTTAACTGGGTACAGGTGTCATCATCCTGGGACAAGGCAATCTCCCCAAGGGCAGAGGAGCCTTCATCTTTGTCTCTGTAACACCACCAGCACCCAGCCCAGCGCCTAGAATACAATGACAGATGCTGAATGGAGCAGAAAGGAGGTCGGTGTGTTTTTTGTGGCCCAAATAAAATGTTCCCGGGCCAGGAGGTTTTTCTTAACTATGACTTTCTTCCAACAAAGCAGCGTTCCTATAATTCATTCCTGAACTTTTGGAGCCTAAGTAGAGAGCGGCTACTGTGGAAAATGAAAGCCATGTTCCAGGGCCTCATTATGTGTGGACAAACAGAACTTCATTCCTTACACTAAATATGGTCAGCTGGAGGTCCTATTTTTCTTTTCAACCGTTGGATCTCTGCTTCCTCATCTATAAAAATCAGCAGGGTAGACTAGATGTTTTATCAAGTTGTTGGGGTTTTTTTTTTCAGATCTGACATTCTATGATTCTATGAAATTTCATATAGGACAAGTGCTAACAACACCCTGAAATACCACTAGTAAAAAGAGCTGACATTTATGTAGAACTTTACAGTTTACAAAGCACTATATGTACACACACACACACACACACACACACACACACACACACATTCAATCCAGTTTTTTTTCGCTCTTTTCTGACTCTTTGTGACCCCATTTGGGGTTTTATTGGCAGAGATACTGAAATGGTTTGCCATTTCCTTCTCCAGCTCATTTTACAGCTGAGGAAACTGAGGTCAACAAGGTTAAGTGACTTGCCTAGGGTCATACAGCTAATATCTGAGGCCAGATTTGTATTTAGGCAGATGAGTCTTCCTGACTCCAGGCCCAGTACTCCATACACACACATACACACACACATATCTGTGTATATAATCTCATAATAATAACTAGCATTTACATATCTCTTTACATTTTGCAGAGTGCTTTACAAATATTATTTGATCTTCACAACCATTTTACGATGTAGGTGCTATTATCCCCATTTTACAGATGGGGAAACTGAAGCAAGAAGCAATTAATGACTTGCCGGGGTCACACAGCTAGTGTCTGAGGCAATATTCAAATTCAGACTTCCTAACTCCAGGTCAGCTGCCCTGATAACAGTTCTTTGAGGTTGGCAGTACGGATTATCTCCATTTTATAGGGGAGGAAGAGACACAGTGAGGTATGGTAAAGAGTGGATCCCTTGGTATCTGAAAGGCCTGGGTTGAAGTCCCATCTCTGATTCATTTACCATATGTGCAAATAGTTTAACTTTCGGTTGGAATCTCATGATCGCCATAAATTACGAGTTTTCCTATACAGACGAAATTACAAATCTGGACCCCCTTCTGCTACCCCCCCCCCAAAAAAAAACCAGATAAGGAAACAATCATAGAGAGAATTAATGACTACCCTAAGCTAGAAAGTGACAGAATTCAAATATGATATGTACCACTAAACAAAAATTTGACCTACAGTAATTAGTTTATAGTTCCTAGAGATACTGTTGGGGTAGCTAGATGGTGCAGTGGACAGAGCACCAGGCCTGGAGTCGGGAAGACCTGAGTTCAAATCCGGCCTAAGACGCTTACTAGCTGTGTGTGACCCTGGGTAAGTCACTTAATTCTGTTTGCCTCAGTTTCCTCATCTGTAAAATGAGCTGGAGAAGAAAATGGCAAACCACTCCAGGCTCTTTGCTGAGAAAACCCCAAATAGGGTCACGAAGAGTCAGACATGACTGAACACACACACAATAAAAAAGATACTGAAATTCAAATTTTCTTGTTCTCGGAAAATGTAAATGAATAAAAACTAATTTAAAAAAATTAAAACAATTAGGAGAGGCAACGTGGTATAATAAAAATAGTATTGGCTTTGGTGTCAAAGAACCTGGATTTGCTTACTATAAACTAAACCTCTCTGGGCCTTAAATTTCCTCACTGGTGAAATGAGGGAGTCAAGCTAGCTGGCCTCTAGGGTCCCTTCCAGCTCTAAGTCCTATGACAAGCTCATGAATGAAAGTGCCCTTTGAGGTCCTTCAGGGTGGGCAAAAGTGACTAGAACAGTGAAATGTTGTGACCAAGGACATTTCCAGTTATAAATTCAGCAGCAAATACTATCACCTTGCTGCAAAACCAATCCTGGTAGGCCTGCAGACCTGCATGTGCCTTACTTTACCTGTACTCACTGTCCTCTTAGTTCTGCAGGGAGGACATCCCAGCCTCAGGAATCAGCAGGCAGCTGGAAACCCCCGGGAGCCCACGCACTGTGGGAAAGCCTAGGAAGTTAGTTTTCCTTGTCTATTTCCGTGTCTATTACAGCCACCCTTCCCAGAATCCCCCCCTCCTTGACTTCTGTGGAGTGGTGTCCTCTGGGAAATGTAGTTCACTTGACGTATCCCTTCTTCTTTTGCCCATGTAAAGAAACTGCTGATTGCAAGGGGCAATTTTGGCACTTGGAGGTAGGAGGCAAGTCTGGGGCAGGCAAGTAATTCAGAAGGGGCACGAAAACAGGCAGATGGCTGCCTCAATTCAACTTTGTAATTCATGATGGGAAAGTCATCCAAGAATTAATTAAGAAATCCTTTGGATGACAGGTAATTACTGTAGTTGCTCACAATGCTTAAGATCCAATAGTTTCCTATTTTAATTAGTTACTCCTACTATATTCAAGTTTATTTTTGGTTTTGTTTTTAAGGAGTCAGGGAGTGGGAAGGATAGAAGGCTGGACCTGGAGTGAAGAGTTACTGCTAGTTGTTTGCCTCTGGGCAAATCACCTCTCAACAACTTAGTTTTCTCATCTGTAAAATGAGGATAGTGAAAGGATCTCATAAGGTTGTTGTAAGGATCAAATGAGATAATATTTTATAGTGCTTTTCCCTTGTGCATCTTGTTCATTCCCATGCTGTCAATTATCACCTCTATCAACCTATTGTTCAAAAAACATTTATTAAGTGCCTACTATGTGCTAGGCAATATGATGAATGTAACAATTCTTATTTGTAAGAAACTAGTGGTGGAAATAATAAGGGCATATGCATTTCTATTAGAACTTAAACTTGCACTAAGACTTTTGGGACACCCTGTATAAGTATATACAGAATAAATATCAAGATAATTAATAACAAGTAGTTAAATACAACGTAGCTTGACTCTCAAACTTATAATCCAGCCTCACTTGAGGCTCACCTCCCTGAGCTCTATCTAGTCCCTCATCTCCTACCAATCCGTCAAACTGAACATATCCAATTCTCAACTCATTTTCTTGGTCCCTAAACCTGCTCCTTCCCTAACTTCTTTGTTTCTGTTTGTGGTTCCACATCTGAGGACCCAAGACCTCAGAGCCATCTCTGACTCTTCTTTCTTCCCAGAGCCCTATGTCCAACAGGCTGCTAAATCTTGTAGTGTCTACCACCATAATATGTCTTGCATCTGTCCTCTTTCCACTCAATAAGCTACTGCTGTAATTCAGACTCTAATCAGCTATCATTTAATATTTTAATTACTTCCCACCTTCTCTCCCTGTATCCAATCTCTCCTCGGGCATCCACCTTTCATGTAGCTAGTTAAATAATCTTTCTAGGGGGCAGCTAGGTGGCGCAGTGGATAGAGCACCGGCCCTGGAGTCAGGAGGACCTGAGTTCAAATCTGCCATCAAACACATAACACTTACTAGCTGTGTGACTCTGGGCAAGTCACTTAACCCCCAATTGCCTCCAAAAAAAAAAAATCTTTCTAAGACATATATCTGAGATTGTGTCATTTTCTTGTTCAGTATTATAAACTCAGCCTAGCATTTAAGGCATTCCATAATTCCATAATTCCATAATGTCATAACATGACCCTGATCTATCTTGCATGCCTTATTTCATGCTCCTCCTCTTTCTGTTCTTTCTGTTTCAGCAAAACTGAACTCAAGTTAGCCAGTCTTCCCTGTCTGTCCAACACGTGTGTGTGCGTGCGTGTGTGTGTGTGTGTGTGTGATCCCCTAAGCCTGGTCCTATTCCCTTTAGACTAATACTTTTTGAAAGGTATTTTTCTCTTCAAGGCCCAGTTCAGATGCTACCACCTCTATGAAGCTTTCCCTGCATTCTCCAGCTAAAAATGACTTCTCTATTCTTATATTTTTTTCAAATATTCTATCTGGATTTCTACTTTGCTTTTTTCACCTTGTATTATTCTCACTTATATAAATGTATACAAATTGGATTGCATTCCCATTGTAGTTCTTTGAGGGTAGGAACTGTATTATTTTTCATCTTTTCAGCCTTGGGATTTAGCACAGTGTCTTGCATATATTCCAATATATGAAATATCTCTGATTTTGTCAGGAAGGGGACTTTCAGCGTGTGGGAACTCCCTCTACCAATGCAGATTGAGTTAAGGCCTAGGGAATTGCCTGAAACCCATCACGCCACTAGGAAGTGTAAGAGTGGAATTTAGATGCCTGTCTTTCTGACTCAGATCCCACCACCCTCTATTTCACACTCTGCTGTGTAGCCCCTGGTGATTGTCTGCCAATTCCTTTAATAGATGTATGTCACCCCAATATGTCATGTACTAATCAAAAAGTCCTTTGGAATCAAAATAGCTTAGGAGAGTTGAGTTATCAGAAATTCAGGTCTTGAACAAATTTGATCGTACCTTTGGGTGAAAGGTTTTTAATTTTGTTTTGTTTTTGCTAATATTGTATTCCCAAACTTTTAAACCCTTTACCTAACGAGCTACAGGTGTCCCTGTGGAGTCTGGGAAATTTAAAGATAAATACTTCACAGAGTCCAGTCCAGGCCTTGACAACAGGCCCAATAAATTTGCAAAGCCAACCATGAGATGAGTCGTACTCTCTCTACTTTTCCTTCTGTCCTTCCTCCGCTCTTTCAACCAATTATAATGTTTAAAGATCTCAAAGTATAAATCCAAGAGCAGAAGAAATAACAGAAAACACCCTGCAGAATGATGGAAAAGGGAACCAGAGATTCTTAAGAATCTTATCATTTTTAGACTGTCTAAAATAATGAGTTTAGCTATCGTTATTCTAAATGTAAGATCTTTGTCCAACAATGGAAGAGCTGGACATACTGGTCACATATATAGTATCACTAGAAATGAAACCAAAAGACGTAAAATTGTTGCTGTAAAGGGAAGGAGCCTCACGGGCTCTCATCCAAGAGCTGAATGAAGAAGTTGGCGGTGTTGGTTTCATTGAGTACCCGAAGGCAACAAGAAACATAATTTTTATGAGCTATTAGGTCATCTGGCCTTGCAGTTTTCATGATGAGAGTATGGAAAAAGGCCTCTATGAAGATAACCATGGCTTAGACACCAAAATCTGTTGTAGAAGATAAAAAGTAGAGAAATTTTATGAAGAACTTTACAAGATTCCCCCAAATCTGAAAATTTTAAAGTGATACACTAGAAAAAAGCCCTGGACTTGTATCCAAGTTTGAATCTTGGTTTTGCCACTTACTACCTATGAGACTCACAGTTAGCCAATGACTCTAAACCTCAGTTTTCTTATTGGTAAAAATAAATCTGTAAAATTGAGGACAATAGTTACAACCTCATAGGGTTGTTAAGGATCAAGTGTGATATTGTATACACACCCTATTCTCACCAAGGGGATCCAGTTCTGGGTCCATGCAGACTGGCTTCAGTCCTTGGGAGAGCCTGGCCATGAAGGGAAGGGTCAAGCTTTTTCTTGCACTCTCTAGCTCATTATGTATCCACTCCCATGAAAATCTCTTAAATAAAGTCTAAGATATGGCTGATGTCCAAAGTCTCTCCAAAAGGTCCCTTTCAGAAAGGTACTCAATGTACAAAGTAGATAGGTTTAGAAAGCTATTTCCTCCACTTCAAAAGAAATGCTTAAGAACAAAAAGTTCACATGCATGCATTGACAAATACTTAAGACACAAAGCAGTGACCCATAACTCCTATTATACCCTCCCTGAAGGTTGATATTTATGTAAGCCCTGTTCCAAAGCCTATTGATATGGGACTCTCTCCTCACTGGTGGAGACGAAGGTCCTGTCCTGCACGAGGGGCCTGATGAATTAGTGAAAGGTAAGAGCTTCAGTCCTTGGCCAGTTCCCCTTTGAGGACTTATCATTCAGGTGTTCCTGGCAGAAGCTGAAAAGCTTCAAAAGAGAGAAAATGGAAGAGGCCAACCCTACTTCAGATTGCGGAAGGAAAAGACTCTGGGAAGACATGAAGGAAGCAGGCAATCCCCATCACATCTCCCTATTACTGACTTGCTACTCTGGAGACTTTGGAGAGTTTCCCTTCGGGTGAGATCCAGGACTTTCTCTCTTGGTTGAGTTGAGTTACATTGCTCCTAGTGGGAAAGCTCCTTCACTCTGGGTATATATACATGTACATATATGTATATAATATGTATACACGTATACACATACGTACATGTATATACATACACATATATACATATACACACATATATATGATACATATTTTCCCATGTGTACCGTCTCTGATTTCTATTTTGCTATGATTTGGATAAATGGGCTTCTTTGCTATTCTCTATGTATGTTTATTGTGGAATTAATAGTAGATGGGAAAGGGGTCAAGCATTGTCTAGGGAGCTTGGGGAGGTCTTCCTTCCCCCCAAAATGACAAAGCAATCAAGCATTAGCTCAAACTTGCTCATACTCCCTAGATAAACAATATTTAAGGAAGCAGATATACTTCTAGCCCTCCTGTACCTTATTCTCTGAGGAAAGCAGAGTGATGGCCTCTGGACCCAACTCCTGCTTCCCCTCCTGGCAGCAATGAAAGTCTTCTTTGGAGAAGGGTGGGGGGGATAAGAGGCTAGCAATGTGTATTCTGCCTCCTTTAGAACTACACACACACACACACAGATAGTGTCCTCACTACACACGGAGCCTCTATGCACATGTGGGGCCCACTCCTCTACTCATATCACTCACTGAAATTAAAACATCAAAACATGAAGTATTTGGGGGGGCATGCTGCTGAGCAGGGATTTCACTTTTACCACTGAGCTTCCCTGTCCAAGCCACTTACTCAAGGTCCGTATCTTCTAACAGGCCAGAGTGTGGCTCTTGCTTTCTGTCTCTTCATCTGTAGCATCATTCTGCTAGTGATCTTTTGCTTTCTACTAAGAAGTTGCATAGAGATCACCTCCTGCTGCCATGGCTAGCACCCAAACCCAGGAATTTCAGGGCTCCTTGACTTTAGAAGGCAGCTGCCACAGCTAGAGACTTCTCTCTCTCAGCAGAGATGTTTGGTGACCTCCACTCATTGAAAGAAACACAAAGCAGTAGAGGCAGCTATGGCGT